GGAATTTCCTGGAGGGTTTCTAAGATCGTGTTAGTTCTTAGAAACCCTCCAGGAAATTCCTTGTCCTGTCCAAAAGCCACCCAAGCCCGAGGTGATGGCAGAAGGCTGATGGAGACCACCAGGATGCCCAGGCATGCAGGCTGCTAAAGCTGCACTTACTCGACTTCAGGGTGGCATTGAGAATCGTTGCAGTCAGGGCAGCAAAGATGATGAGAGTGTCAAACCTGGCACGAGGGAAGGCAGCACTGTTAGATTTGGGGTGATGGGGAAGGGCCTGAAACAAGGAGCGACCCCCCTTCCTCACATCTGTGCCAGGCAGCCCTGTGCCACCTCAGACCGTGGGCAGATGGGGAAGTTTTGTTTAGTAAAACTCCTTCCCTCGCCCACCGTCTTCACGTGCTGCAGAGTCCCCTTGGTCAGGGCAGAGAACAGCAGTGCAGAGCCAGGAAAGAGCACAACATCCTCTGACTCACATCACCACAACACCCCCTGGCACGGGAGTGGGGCAGCCCATCTCTCCAGGAGCCACTCAGTCCTCGAGGAGCTGAACACAGAGACCTCACCACACCTCACAGCACCTTCAGCACGAACCCCGTCCCACTCCACTCACCAGTTCCAGAACTGGGTTTTCCCGAAGAAGGCCCTCGGTTCGTACGTGTACACCTTCAGGAGGATCTCGGTGATGTACAGAGCCAGGAACACCCACTCGGCGTAGGAGATGTAAGGGGTCTCCTCATCCAGAGCAATGAAGATGGCGTTTATCAGGATGATCGCATCGTAAGTCCAAACAAAAGCCCTGCAAGAAGAAAGAGAGATCGGTTTGTCACTCCCAAGAAGGTCAAAGTTACACAGTCACTTCTGAAGTTCTTTGCCTCCTCTCTCAAACATTCTTCACCCATCAGTTCTCCCCAAACCTGAGAGCTTAGGGAAGTTACTGAGGAGTTTAGTTTTTCTCTTGAAGCCCGACACAAAAATTGGAGAGTGATGTTAATAAGTCCAGGGAAGTGATTTTTCCCATCTGCTCAGTACTGGAGTGCTGTGTCAGCTGGGCTGCCCAGTACAACAGAGACCTGAACACACTGGAACTAGTGCATCCAAGGGTCACAAATCCAATGGAAGGACAGGACAGTCTGACACACAGGATATGCTGGGAGAGCTGGGGTTGTCCAGCCTGACAAGGAGAAGGGTCAGGAGCAGCTCAGTATGTCTAAATACCTGATGGGAAGGTGTAGGGAAGATGGAGCCAGACTCTTCCCAGTGGTGTCCAGTGAAAGCATGAGAGGCAAAGGGCACAAGTTGAAATACAGGAACTTCCATTTCAACAAAAAAGGTTTGTTTTGTTTTTTTTTTAATGGAAGGTGGTCAAACACTGGAATGGGCTGCAGAGAAATTATGGAGTCTCCATCCTTGGAGATACTCTGGATCCAACTAGACATAGCCCTCAATATTCTACTGCAGCTGACCTTGCTTTTAGCAGGGGGGTCACACCAGACTCTCTCTAGATGTTCCTTCCAACCTCAGCAATTCTGGAATTCTGGGAAGACCCTGAGATGAAACAGGGAATTACAGCTCATTGTAAGAGCTGATGAGGCAGCACAACGCAGCTTTGCTGCAGAGACTGCTGAGGTCAGCTCAGCTTTCAGTGAAGGCCTTAGCCTGGTCCTTCAAGGCAGGCCACAAACCCTGTTACACCCAGCACCTGCACCAGAGCTGAACAAGTGGGACTAGACGAGGCGTGGACTCGCCAGCAGTCCACTGAAGGCAGGCAGAGAGCAGAGCTGTGCACAGAAGCCCAGCCTGAACCCTGTGTGCAGTCTCCAGGTGAGCCTTGGGCCACGGGAGCCTCACCTGTGCCTGACCAGGCCGCGCAGGAGCCTCACCTGTGCCTGACCAGGCCGCGCAGGAGCCGACTGGCCGCCGAGCCGTACACGCGGGGCACCCACCGCGCCAGGGGGTGGCTGCGCAGCTTCAGCGTCACCACCTGGATGTTGAGCAGGTCTGCCAGCTGCACGAAGCTCTTCTTGTCTGCAGCAGGGGAGAGCGTCACACGTCAGTCTGCTGGTGTTAAACAAGAACACGGTGTCTGGCAAAGGCAGATCTGGATTCAGGATCTGTTCACAGCAGCAGTGATGCCCGTGCCCCAAGTGGTGTCCACAACAGGCTGAACGTGGCACTCAAACAGCTCCTCCAGCCCATCCCAGGGGGTTTGGCTCAAACCACGGGGCAACAACCACCACAGAATGATCCCACACGAGGAGACTGACCCATCCCTCCTAATAGTCCCACACCAGCAGCAGCAGAGCGAGAGGATCTGGAGGACTGTGTGGGGAGCCACTGCTCGGAAGAACGTGATTATAAGGGAGGTTTTCCTCGTCCTGTGCTGGGAACAGGAGGTCCCACACACCAGGGAGAGCTTGGCCTGATGTCAAATGGCCACCAAGAGCCACCCACAGTGTGCACGACATGGGCTACAGCACAGGCAGTAAGGACAACCTTTCAGGACTTCAGGAATCTGGAGGGAAAGAGAAAGAAGGGCCTGGAGTCGCCATCCCTGGAATGACCGGACACGGCACTCAGCGCTCTGAGCCAGTTGACAAGGTTGGACTGAAGGATCCTGGAGGTCTTTTCCATTTAAAATGATCCTGTTATTCCAAACCATTAGAGACCACAAGTCCCAGTCCCTAACCCCTTGAAGGATCAGGCTCCCGGCCCCAGCTCCTCCCCACTCCCTTGGGCACGTGCTCACCTACGAACCCCTTCTGCTCATTGTCCGAGATGCGGAGCAGCAGCTCCCGGTGGGAGTTGCTGATATCAGGAGCCACCAGCTTGACCAGCTGCTTCCAGCGGGCTTCTCGAACCACCAGCTGCTCTCCCTCCTCTTCCTTCAGGAGGTTGAAGGCCTCGATCATCTTGCGGCGCTTCATGTAGGCGAGTTTGCGGATCTCGTTCTAGGGAGAGCGTTGAGATTCAGGCAGCTCCAGTCACCCATCCCCCCCTCCTTTTTCCATAAATAATCTTATTTTCACAACACAAAAGGGAGAAGAGACTCAGGGGAACACGCTGGGAGTGATGTTAGATACAAAGTACAGCACAGGGAGTAAGGATGATGAGAAATGGGTGTTTGACAGGCAGCGCTCTGGAAGGATCAAAAGATTTCTGGATGCTGGGAGAGCACTGAAAAACCGGAAGGAAAGACAAAGGGAAGCATCAAACAGGAAGGAGGTGACAAAGATCACGGGATCTGCACAGTCACAGAAGCAAAGAGGATGTGTCCACAAGTGCTGGACACATCCATAAGTGAATACTGCTGAGGTCAGGGTGGAGATCCTCTTCTCCAAGGGACTATGAGCAGGCTAAAGAACCTGGAACCCTGGGGACACCCAGACTGCTTCCTGAGAAACAGGCAGTCCCCTTGTGGGAGCACCCAGGAATTTCCAGCTCTCTCTCTGATCACAAATCCCAGACTGCCCCTCCTCAGTGTGGGTAGGACAAGAATTCTGCTTTACTCAGACTTCCCATTTCCAGTTCCTTTGCTTTAAGAGCACATGCAGTGGCAGAACAAGTGTGCTGTGCACTTAAAAACCATCCGAGAACAGTTCCCTGCAGGGAGGCAGCATTTCTGAGCTAGGGCTAAGCCTCCAAGATATTGCAGAGACATCTGCTTCCTGTCTGTTGGGTTCAAAGCACCACAGAATAGTTCATTGTTCAATTCCAACAGCAGAACTCACAGCAATCCCCCCAATATGAGATTTCCAAGGGAAAGCCAGAGGTTTCCCTACCAGGTTACAGAGCACAGCAGGCCACTCCCCCTCCAAGCATTACCTTGAGGTGTTTTTTGTAGTTGTTGTACACCACAGCCAGGAAGAGAGACATGAAGATGTAGGTGTTGACGATGACGAAGGCGATGAAGAACAGGGCGTACCAGGAGCTGAAGTCAAATGCTGGCATCCTAGAGAAAGGGGAGAGGGATTGCTGCTTGCTAGGCTGACACACAGGGAAAGAGAATCCACAGGGAAACAGATTCCCAGCTGGATTTCTAAGTGCTGCTGTGATAGCCAGGCAACACCCAAGTTAAAAACTGCATTAGTTCAGCTAGAGAACAGTTTTCTTCTGCTGGGTTTTCATCCTGGTTTGTCTGACTGAAGTGATGCAGGAGAGAGAGCACAGAGATTAATCTTCTGTCAGCGTGGCCACATTTAAGTGCAGAGACTTGAGGTGATGCCTCAGTCATAAGCTGGTTTTTGCCCTCAGACCCTCACTGCACTCAGACCTCCTTTTTTTCCTTGCTCTCAGAGGATGAGCAGCATTTTATTCCTCTGTTTAAATTCCCAGGGTTCCTGTACCATCCCAGTTGTGCTCAGTACACCTCCAGCACGCAAACAAACGTGCCATTCCTCCCTGTCCTGCTCTTTGATGGCACCTTCCCAGTGCCAACCAAAATGGGAACCCAGTTAGAGCAGGTGAGGATGGGAAGCCCAACCTCACAGAATTTTAACAGTGCTGTGCAAATTAAAGAAGGCTGCATAGCAGTATAAACTATTGGCATGAATACATTATATATGTGTGGAAATATCATGGGAGAAAGACCCCTGATGGTACAGACATGACATACATGACATCCGGGCTGTTCGCCGTCGTCACCAGCACGTAGAGGTCAAACACAATTTCCAGGTAGTTCCTGAAATATGGCAAACCTTCTGCTGTCTGGAGATTCCTAGGAGGAAAAGGACAGTCTGGAGTTAAGCACTGAGGGAGCTGCACACACCAGCAGTGCTTGCATTCCCTAATAATCGTTTGGAGTCACCAGGCTCCCTCCTGCCCAAAGGATCCCACACGTTCTCCCCACCCAGCTCTGAGCAAAAGAAGCGTCCACACCTCTCTCCAAAGAGCTTCAGGGCCATGAGGGAGAACATGAGCAGGCTGAACATGAAGAGCAGGAAGACGTAGGTGATCTCTGGCAGCGTGTTGCGGATGCTGCGGAAGGCTCTCCGGATCTGCCGGGGGGGAAGGGAAGGGTTTAGAACCAAAGTGGGACCCCTTTTCCGCTCACCTGCATCAAACCCACACACAGGGACAGGCAGGCAAAGTGGGGCACAGGTACCAGATGTGCCAGCTCTGTTCTGATAAAACCTGTGCAGGACTCCCAGGCCTCTCCCTGTCGTTCTCCAGGGGAGATCCCAGAAGGAGAGACCCCACCCACACGGCACCACAAACTCAGTGAACCAGACAGGGCCCCGAGGCACTGCTGAAATGCCCTTGCTGCAGGGGACCAGTGAGGGACTGAAATCCATCACTCCAGGCCACAAAACACATGCTCTGAGTCCTAAAGCTCAACTGCTCCCTCCCCCAGGCCCCCACACGACAGTTTACTCATTTTTAAGTCAGGAGCAGAGCGATCTCGGGCAGGAGGGCAAAGATCTCCCCGTGATGAGAGGAATCAGAGTCCAAATCACCCATCTGGGCTACAAGTTTGACAACAGCACGACACTTGTTTACCCAGGAGACTTCCAGGAATAAGTAACCTGGCCCCTGACTCGGGGAAGAACAGGTTTGAAGCCCGTGGTGGTGTGAATCCACCTTTCTGTCCATCTCAGCCCACCTCCGAGAGAAACCTTCACTCACAGGACCCCAAATTCTGCCCCTTCTGCACAAAAACCTTTCTGCTACATCCCCTGGATCCCAGAAAGCAGCAGGCTGTCTGAAAGACAGGCCCCTGGACATCCCAGCAGGCCTTCACCTGGCGACTCTCCGCAAAGTTGATCAGGAAGATGGGCCTCACAATTCTCGACCACCGGATGCTCCTCACGCCGTACACCCTGAGGACTCCATATATGGCCAAGTCTGTCAGAGATAACTGCAGGAAAAAGAAGGAAAAACCCCAGAAGGAATAATGGAAACATGTCTGGATGGTGAAGAAAATAGTGTGTGCTGACACAAGGCGGGTGCACGCACGACAGGTTTGTGAGAGCTGCTTGGTTTAGCCATGGATCTCGTCAGGTCTGTGATACCAGGAGAGCAACAGGAAGGAAAAAAACCACATCCACATTGGCCACTTGGACCTCAGAGGCTCCCCCTGGGCCCAACTCACCAGGATTGCCACCATGATGCAGATGTTCTTGGTGTCCTTCCAGAACACGCTGTGCAGGGTGACCGTGGCAAAGTGTGCCAGGCGGCCGAGGAACACCAGCAGGCACAACACCTCCAGCACAGATGTGACCTGCAGAGGGACAGGAGGGGCTCAGTCAGCACAACCAGGGCAGCACTACCCCTTCCTGCACAGATGAGGGTGTTCAGGCACAGAAACAACGAGCAGAGGCCGCACAAAGGAGGGGTTTGCTGTCAGCTGTTTTGCACACTCACCTACCTGGCACCGAGCAATAGTTCCAGGCTTCCTTTTGTGGGATTCCCTGCCACAGGCAGGTTAAAGGCAGCAAATTTGGGTTTGCTTAGGATTCAAGGAGCACACCTGTCACAATCACACTGGTGCAGAACAAATAAAGGCTGCAGAGAAGTCAGGCCTAAGAGCAACATTTGTCTTCTACTTTCACACGTGAGGGTGGGACTGGAATCGCTCCAAAGGCTGGAATTGTTCTCTGAGATGGAGAACAGCAACATGACTTTGTCCATAGTCATACTGACCTTTGCTGATGGCCACAATGGCTTCTACAGTCCCTGTCCAGCTCCTGTACCCCTTTTTTGTCCCCATTTCAACATATCACAGAATCTCGGAATAGTTTGGGTTGGAAGGTGCTGGAATGTGTAGAGTTCATCCAGTGCCACCCCCTGCCATGGGCAGGGACACCTTCCACTAGCCCAGGTTGCTCCAAGCCCTGTCCAACCTGGCCCTGGACACTTCCAGGGATGGGGCAGCCACAGCTTCTCTGGGCAACCTCTGCCAGGGCCCCATCACCCTCACAGCCAAGAATTTCTTCCCAGCATCCAATTTAAACCTGCTCTCTGGCCGTTTGAAGCCATCCCCTCTCATCCTTTCCCTCCAGGCCCTTGTAAGCAGCCTCTCTCCATCCATTATCTCTTGATACTTCTGACAACTCCTCTCCAGCAGGAAACCCCTGCTGCCTCCACCCCAAAAACTCACCAGGAAGGGGAGTGGGTACACAGCAGGCTCTTCAAACATGGCCAGGGACAGGTTGAGAAAGATGAAGAAGTAGGTGGCTGTTCTCATCATCCAGTGGTTGTAGAGATAATAAAGCCTGGAGAAAGAGGGCAGAGGCACCATAAACAAAGGCTTCAGGGCACATCCCCAGGGGCTCACCAAATGCACCCCAAACAAATATTTTTGCCAGCCAGGATGCTGGCAATTTGCTTCCAATTATATTATTATACTCCCTTTATATTCCAATTATATTACTATACTCCCTTTCAAGGAAAAGTGATACGATATATAACAAGTATTACATTCTTTAATATTTATCACGTTATACAAATAGATTATTTGACCTCCCTACAAATATTATTTAATATTATAATATCAAGGTTATAACAACCTGCTTTCAGGTTGGGCTTCTAATAACACCATCCAGAGGTGACAATGCAAAACCTGATTGTTTAATCCTTCAGGTGTCAGGACCAAATCAATGAAACGCTGTTTTCCCAAAGCAGGGAGGCATTACAGCTCCACAGCAGCTCACACCTGCTCAAAGCCTTTGGGACAAACATACTGACCCCCTCTCGGTCTCCCAGGAAAAGGAGTGACTTCAGTGTGCCTGGAGCTGCTCAGCCTCTCCCCGGCACCTCAAATGGGAGTCACCATCACAGTCAACTGTTCTTGGCTCGGGGAATTTCACAGTCAACTGTTCTTGGCTCGGGGAATTTCACTTATCACAATTAAGGTAATATTTTAATTACTGCTCCCCCAGCAGCTACAGCCCTTTCTGGAGCACACCTGAGCAATGGTGCCACACTCTCCGTGGGTTACCTGAATTTCTGGGGTGTGATGGGATGCTGTCACCCGTTCCAAGCCAGCAAGTGCCAGGTGTCCCCACCTGGCACAGGCTTCTCCCACACAGGGCAACTGTGACCCCCCTGCTACCAAACCCTGCCACTTCCACGCCGCTGAGGGGGCCAGCCAAGCCTCCCAAACTCTCCATCCCCGCAGAGGCTCGGGAGACTTTATGTTGTTTTTATTCCTCCGGCAAGACACAAGTTTTTAATTCCCTTTCCCACCCTCAACACGCAGATGCGGCTGAGCCCCGTTTTAAGCATCTCAGCTTAAAACCAGCTTCTGGCAGCCCACGCACCCACCCTCCCCAGCACCCCACGCTTTTTTGGCAGCTCCCTCGCGATGGTGTGGGGGGGGTGCACACACAGCCCTCCTTACCTGACCGCCTCGGGGGACGTCTTGAAGGGAATATTCCTGTTGTACTGCGCGTCGGAGACGAACGCTGCTGCCAGCAGCAGGTCCTGCGGGAAGGGAGGGAAAACACGGGAGAGACGGTCAGGAGGTGGGGTGGGGGGTGAGAGTAAGTTCTGAGGAGTTACCGGAGGGAGGAGGAAGAAGGGGGGAGAAGGGGGCGAGAAAGGGGGCAAGAAGGGGGCGAGGGACCCCCGGGGCGAACCTGCGCGGGCGGCTCGGCCATGGCGGGGGCGGACGCGGCACCTCCCCGGGCCCGCCGCCTTTAACGGGGCCGGTCCCGCCCCGCGGCGCGGCGGAAGCGGGAGGCGGTGCCGGGATCGGGATCCCGGGGCCGGGGATGGTGCTGGAGGCGCTGCGGCCTCGGGCCGTGCGCTGGGCGCTGCTCGCCGCCTTCGCGGCCGGCGTGGCCGTGGGCTGGCAGGCGGGACGGCTCCGCCGCCGCTTCCTCCGCTGGAGGCAGCGCTACCTCCAGCGCCGCCTCGCCGCTGCCCAGGAAAAGCTGGACGCGGCCTGAGATCCGGGAAAACGGGAGCCGGGCTCCCCTCCACCCCCCCACCCCGCCGGTGGGAGCGCTGCTGGGGAAGGATAACACGCGTGGAAGGGCAGGGCTGCTGGAAAAGGGCGGGATCCGTGGAACAGCAGGGCTGTGAAAGGACGGCAACCGTGGAATAGCGGGCTTGCTGGTAAAGGACGGCATTCATGGAATACCAGGACTGCTGGAAAAGGACAGCGTCCATGGAATAGCAGGGCTGCTGGAAAAGGACAGAATCCATGGAATACCAGGGCTGCTGGAAAAGGACAGCGTCCATGGAATACCAGGGTTTCTCTTCCACCCTTCAGAAGGCGGGATCCCAAACTGTGTCCGACAGGCCTAACAAAATACTGAGGATAGAGGAGCGATGATACCAGACCTGGAAAGGGCTGCCCAGGGAGGTGGTGGAGTCTCCCCATCCCTGGAGGTGTCCAAGGAACAACTGGATATGGCACTCGGTGCTCCGGGCTGGGTGACAACGTGGGGATCCAGCACAGGTTGGACTCGATGATCCTGGAGGTGTTTTCCAACCCAAATGATTCTGTGGTTCTGTGATTGCCCCATTCCAAAGGTAGTCTGCACTTGTCCAGCTCTGAGCCTGCTGCTCTGCCCTTGCCAGGAAGCACTGCTGACACAATAAAGTGGCCAAAATCATGACATGGTGTTCATGTGTTTTTTTCTGAAATGAATATGAAAACGTGCCTTATGGGCACTTGTAACAACCCTCATTATGGAGGCTCGTGGGGACAATTAGGTGGTGAAATAGCTCGTGCGCTGGCAGGGTGAGCCTGTAAATTAAATGTAGGATGTTGGCTTTGGAGGCAGAATTCCTCCTGGCACTTTGGATAAGGAATTGTGGAGAAGGTGTAGTATGTTCCTAATTCCCTTCCCATAGTTAAGGAGTTCCAGGAGAGCATTTGTTGGGGTCTGGGAGGTGCCAGGGGATTCACTGCACGTTGCAGGCCGCTGGTTTTCAACTGTATTAATGAAGTTTTAAAAGTTCTGGGGTGGGGGGAAAAGCACCCCTTGAGGGTTGGCCTTGATGATCTCAGAGCTCTTTCCCAACCTTATCGATCCCGTGATTAAGATCACAAAACGCCTAATAATTTGTAGCCAAATAAATGCTCCCGGGGCTCTTCAGTACGAAGGTGGGTTTGGAGCTTGGGGAGCTCCCGCAGTGGCAGGGCCGGGGGTGCGGTACCGAGCGCCAGGATGGGATGAATCCCTGGACCGGCTGAGCCCCGGGATCGGGTGAATCCCTGCCCGGGCTGAGCTCCGGGATGGGATGAATCCTTGGATCCGCTGAGCCCCGAGACCGGGTGAATCCCTGGATCCGCTGAGCCCCGGGATCGGGTGAGTCCCTGCCCGGGCTGAGCCCCGGGATCGGGTGAATCCCTGGATCGGCTGAGCCCTGTGATCGGGGGAATACCTGGATCGGCTGAGCCCCAGGATCAGGGAAATCCCTGGACCGCCTGAGCCCCGGGATCGGGTGAGTCCCTGCCCGGGCTGAGCCCCGGGATCGGGTGAATCCCTGGATCGGCTGAGCCCTGGGATCGGGGGAATACCTGGATCGGCTAAGCCCCAGGATCAGGGAAATCCCTGGACCGCCTGAGCCCCGGGATCGGGTGAGTCCCTGCCCGGGCTGATCCTCGGGATCGGGTGAATCCCTAAACCGGCTGAGCCCCGGGATCCGGGGAATCCCTGCCCGGGCTGAGCCCCAGGATCGGGTGAATCCCTGCCCGGGATGGGATGAACCCCTGGACCCGCTGAGCCCCGGGACCGGGTGAATCCCTAGTCCCCGGGATCGGGTGAATCCCTGCGCCCCGGGATCGGGTGAATCCCTGCCCGGGCTGAGCCCCGGGATCGGGCGAGTCCCTGCCCGAGCTGTGTCCCGGGATCTGGTGAATCCCCGCATCCCGGGATGGGCGAACCCCCGCCCGGCCCCGCCCCGGTCCGTCATCGGGCGGCGCCGGCCCCGCTCCCGTTGCCCGGTGACGATGTCGGAGCGGCGGGCGCGGGGGCCGCTCCAGCGGGTGCAGCGCCGGAGCCGGGAGCTGCGGGAGCAGGTACCGGGCCGGGCCGGGGCTATACCGGGGGGACACGGCCGGGCCCGGCCCCTGACCGCCCCCGTTTCCCCCTGTCCCCGTTCCAGGTGGATGCGCTGCGGGCGGAGAGCGCGGCCGCCACCCCCGGGCAGCGGGAGGCCCTTCGGCAGAGGTGAGGGGGGTCCCGAGCCCCATCCCGAACCCCGACCCTCGCTCCCTGTCTTACGCTCATCCAGGAGTCGCCCGGCTCTGCTCCGTGCGTGGGAAGAGATCCCTCCGTCCCCATCACTCTGCATCAGAAGGAGCAAAGAGTTCCCTCTCCGCCTTTCCCTTCTTCTCCCGGTTGTCCAGATGTCTCCCTGCTCCTCCTTTGCAGGCTGGTTGCTGCCCAGCCCGCCGGGGCTGAGGAAAATCTAGAGAACGCCAAGAAGGAATCTCATAAATCCATACAAATATCTCCAAGGGGTGTCAGAGGATGGGGCCAAACTCTGTTCAGTGATGGGACGAGGAGCAATGGCCATAAACTAAACCACAGATTCCACCTCAACATGAGGAACGACTTATTTCCATGGAGGGATCAGAGCACTGGTAGAGCTGCCCAGGGAGGGTGTGGAGTCTCCTCCCTGGAGACATTCCAAACCCACCTGGACACGTGCCACCTGCTCCAGGTGACCCTGCCTTGGCACTGGATGATCTCCAGAGGTCCCTTCCAACCCCAGCTACGCTGGGATTCTGCCAAATGCAAGTGGGAGGTTGCACCTCGCAGGGAATAATCAGCCAAGCTGCTGTTTGGGCTTGGAATTCTCAATCTGCCCGGACACACAGCACCTAAAATGACGCCTTTCAGTCAGCAGGGACAGTTTGGGGCAGAATTTTAAGAAAATACCATCTGTCTGTCTTGCTTTCCGTGCAGATGTATCCAGCTGAAGAAACTGGTGGAGGAGAATACAAGTGCTCTCCATGCTTTGAAAAAAGTGAGTGTGGAGATGAATTTGTTTGTGGTTTCCTCCAAAATTCACCGCGGAAAGCATTTAAAGACCACCAACCTTCCATCTGAGATGCACCTCAGGACAAGAGCAGTGCCCAGCACAGCACAGTCCCTGCTTGGCTTCTCTCCAATTTATATTATTTATATCGATTTATTTTATTTTAATGCTTTGTTGTGTCCAAGTCCTGCACATAAAATGTTTTATCAGCCCAATGCATTCTTTGGAAGCAGAGAGTGCAATTCAAAATTTAACGTGGAATTTCACCTTGGCAGAGGGAAAGGGCAAGGAAAATGTCACTAAAGAGGGAGCGAGAGCAGCCCAGGGAGGGGAAAGCTTGTAAGGCATGTCTGGAAAACTAAATTTATAGGGGAACTTTGATTCCTTGGGCACTTTGTTGTGTTCTTTGTCAGGCTGACGAGCCCGCACCGGTGGGGAATTACAGCCAGAGGAAGGAAGAAGAGGAGAAGCTGCTGCTAAAACTCTCCCAGCAGCTGCAGAAACTCCTCCTTGTCTTGGGTCAGGATAACGTGACAAAGTATTACAGAGTGTGAGTAGCTCAAACACACAACCTGTGGTTTTGTAGAATGGTTGGAAAGGTCCCTGAAAAGCTGTTAGTTCATCCCTTTTATTATCTGAAAAATAGAAGGAAAGAAAAAGAAGTGCTCGCAAGATCAGTGATTTCTGGCTCACTGGGTGTTGGATAATGTTTGGAGGAGAGGGAGGGAGGAAGCACCGCTGGGATTTTGGAGTTTTTCAGGACAGAGAGCAAAACACAGGACTGAAAACGCTGTGTCTGACAGCACTTTAAAAAAGTTTGGTGAAAAGGAGAATAAAAACAGTCTGATTGGTTTTGGGTAGGGATGAGGAACATCAGAAAGCTCGTCATGGAGAAGATGGAAATGAAGAAGAGGAGGAGAGTGAAGATGAAGAAAGTAGTGAGGAGGAAGACAGTGAAGAAGAAGAAGATGAGGAGAAGTTGTTGGATGATCCAAACGTTAAAGAATGTGTTGCTGTTGGAAACTTTGAGGCACAGCAGGAAGGGGATCTCACATTTCAGGTAAATACTCTCTGTAAAGGGCTTTTACTGCAGATCAGTCTATATTAAGCAATAACTATAACTAAAGCCTATGGTTTTGGGAGTCACACAGCTCCTTGTGGGATCTGGGGGGAAATGGAGTTTTCTTGGAGTCCAGTGTCCTTCTGCCACCCTCTGTCGTGGCAGCGTCTGGGATCTCTGTTGTAGGAAAAAAAATCAAGGGTTTGTGGGGTTTTAATGTAAATATTTGGTTGTCTTTTGTCTCTGTCTCTCCTTCCAATGCCAAAGAAAGGTGAAATCCTGCTTATCCACGACAAGAAGGTGGATGGCTGGTGGGTGGCTGAAAATTCCAAGGGGGAGAGAGGCCTCGTTCCCAAGACCTACCTTGCGGTTGGTGTGCTGCAACCTCTGTCCTATCTCACCTTTGGGCTTTCAATGATCATACAGCTGCATAACATTGGGCACAGTGCTCGTGTGGGGAGTGTGTTGTTTGGAAATAATGTCAGCTGTTTGGAAATAATGCCAGCTGTTTGGAAATAATGCCAGTTTTTGGGAAATAACGCCGTGTTTTTATCCACGGGGGTGGAGATGTCCATCAAAAGCAGAATTTTTGTGCCTTGTGAGGATGTGGCCAAGAAGTTTCTTGACTATGGAAGTCATCATCTTTGTCACTGAAGATCAGCTCTGATGGCTGCAAGCTGCTGTGGATTAATTTGGGCTTTTTAATGATTTATCTGCAAAGTGAGTCCATGTAAATATTGGGCAGTTTTCTGCAGCTGCAGTGATGCATCACAGACAGAATTTCTCCTCTTCTAAGCTATTAACGTGGGCTGTGGTTGGAGAGGGCACTTTTAAGGACAGAACTGGGAAGAAATCAAGCCCTCTGCCCTTTTGAATCTGAACTGCAGGTTCCCAAGAAAGAGGAAGAAAGCCAGGAGGAGAGGGAGGAACACATAGAAGTGGTGGATGAAACAGCAGATGGGACTGAAATTAAAAGAAGGTAAAAGGAGTGATGTGAAAGCAAATAAGTATAAAATTCTTCTTCCTCCTCCTCAAACCTGGCAGTACATTTCTTACCTCACAGGGGTCTTTGGTTCTTTCCTGTACAAGAGCCACGTGTTTTTTTTTTCTCTTGAGTGGGTTTGTTGGGGAGTTCTGAGGTGTTAGATGTGGTTAGGAAGCTGCTGCTATTTGAAAACAGACCCATATTTAGTGTTTAAATTTTTGTCCACACAAGGCTATGTTCTAAAAACCCCCATTTTTCTTCCAGGACAGACTCTCACTGGAGTGCTGTACGAGCCATCACAGAGGTGGGTGCACCTCTTACACCTCTCATAATGTTGATTATTCTGCAGATAAGCTTTGTCCTTTTACCAAACACGGTGTCTCATATTACAGATTGTTCTTTTTAATTAGCATCTCTATTTTTTTGGGGGGGGAGGTGGTGTTTGGTAGCAAGAAATGCCACAGAAATGCTTCAGATGAGGTGGCTCATGCACCAGATCTCTGGTTTAAATGGAGTTCTAAATTAGCTGTTGAATTATGGCAGGAACACTGATACAATTTTGGTTTTAATAGCATGACACAGTGCAGGTACTGACCACCATAGGAGCAGTTCCCACAGGATTCCGCCCATCCATGCTTTTCCAGCTCCTAGAGAAAGGTAAGGATTTCTCCTGATAGTTCCAGTGCAGGATTCTCAGGGGGCTGTGGTGAGTTCCTCACCCTGGTCACCAGCCTGTTGGAGTACAACCAGTATTGCTTAATTATAATTGGCTATATTTGACCCATCAAATACTGTATAACAGGCTTTCCCCCCCACCCCCTTCAATTAGGTTTTAATTTATCTGTGTGAAATCCTGACAAATTTCCTCACAATTTCAAAGATTTTCCTCTTTGGAAGATCCTGTTGACGTTGGAGGAAATGATGATTTTTTTAAATTTTATTTCAATCTTCCCTTTTCCTTGGGGAAGATGATTACACATCTCATGTTTTGTTTATCTTTTAGTTTAAAACATTTCAGCTCATTTTGTTGATTAAATGACTGTTCTCCTGGGATGAAACACTGCAGAACGCTTACAAATGGTAACCAGCGCTCACAGAAAACACCTGCATAGTTTCGTTTGGTCAAATATTCAGCTGGACCCGAGTTTTGGGTGTTGTTCATTTTGTGGCAATAAAGATGATTTAAAAAAAATGAAGGATTTTCAAACTCACCCTTGTTGTAGGGGATGAGTTTCGAGCGAGTTCCTACTTGCAGCCTGAGCTGACTCCATCCCAGCTGGCTTTCAAAGACCTGGTGTGGAACTCTGAAAAAAACACTGTGAGTATCACTGGTAAGGGAGCCTCGGTGCCTTTGGGTTGGGGAAGTGATGGGGTCTCCAGGTGGGAATTGGTGGCAGGATTTCCCATTGGTGGGTGAATGAGAGATTGCCGTGTCCACCCAGACTCCTTAGACAGGAGATGTTACCACATCCTGCTCTCCACTAGGCAAAAAGTCAGTATAAATTGTCAAGTTGGGTATCTTTTAAGAGCCATTTAAGTCTGTGGATTCCCTCCCTGTCTGGGGTGAAGCAGTGGGTGACTGGTGTGAAGTTTTAAACCACGAGCCCTGTGAAATCACAAACTGAATTTGTCTTCTTTCCTACTGGCTAACGATCATGTCTTCATTTTTGCACCGTTTTTGGAATATTTCTCCTGCTAGGACTTAGTCCATCCCACTAAAACACCTGTAGCAATCTCCTCGGGGGAGAACTAAAGGCTCATGAAGGAGTTCGTGGCTGGGAGAATCCCTGTGGTGACCACCTCACTCACTCACCAAACACAAAACCACACGGGCAGGGGGGCCCTGGAGGTTTAACCCTTCCTTGTGCTGTATTCCAGATCCATCCCAGAGCGACCAGAGTGTCCCAGGTTGTGAGTCTGTGCAGCTGCAAGATGATCCCTGTGCCAGGAGCCAGCGTGCAGGTGCTGAGCAGGCACGTCCGACTCTGCCTGTTCGACGGCACGCGGGTGAGCGAGGGCTCTTTCCGAGGCAGGGATGACCCGAGGGGCTGTGGAGCCCCCAGGATCTTTGGGTTCTCTGCTAGCCAGCTCCTCCAGTTGTCTCACTCACACAATCTGCCTCCCCAGGCTGCTCGACACTCACGCTCAGATAGCTCTGGTTTGAGCCCATCCACCCAGAAAAACAGTTCTGAATGGGTTTAATGAGCAAACAGGACAGGCTGCACTGACAGGCACCAGGCATGGCCAAACTTGCACACTTACCCTGTGTCCCACCCTTGTTACTCCACAGAGCACCTCCATCCCTCCCTTTTTCTGCCTTGGTTTCTCCCCATTACTACTTCCATCCCGCAGTAAGCCAGGGGCAGTCCCAAAGTGCCCTTCCCCTGCCCTCTCCTCCCCTGGGCAGTGTGAAGTGCCCCAGGGAGCTGCTCCTGACTCACAGTGACAGTCACACCCTGCCCCTGGGGCTCAGGGCTGGGCTGGGCTGCCCTGGGAGGGGCCGGGGCAGGAGTTTCTCTGAGCCCATAATTTCGGTCCCCCCACCTGCCCTTGTGCCTTGTGGCTCGTTGGTGTCTGTGGGGATGAGTGGGGTTGGGCTGATCTCTCTCCTGGGGTGGGCCTGGGAGTAGCTGAGTCAGGGTCAGATTCCCCCCTGCCCTCAATCCTCTGCCCCTTTTTGTGTTATCTGCAGAGCAGCTTTTTATACCCACATCCAGCAGTTTTCTTCCAGTTGTCTTTGCTGTGTGCATTGTTGGATTAACCTGGGATAATCTGCACTTTGTTACAGCAGCAGAGCTTTCCAGAAAAACTTTGCCTTAGCTTTTCCCCCCCACACTGTCATGTTTAGGTGCTGAGTAACATCCACACGGTGAGAGCCACGTGGCTGCCTAAAAATCCTCAGATATGGACCTTTTCTCCAAGGGTAGGTGACACAGCTACTGAATAACTAGTTATTTAAGCTTCTTGCTTGTCACTAAGAAGTCTATTTTTAGTGTGCTAAAACTCTACGGAGTTTTAGTGTGCTCCACAGCTGTGCTCCATGGAAAGAAAAAAGAATAAGGTTTAGACTGAAACTGGTTCTCTTCTCATTTTTATCTGCAGTGGGATTGGGTCTGAGGTCTTGTGTGAGTGAGGGATGTGCTTGATGGCCTTTAAAAATGAAGATTTGTTTCAAACAGTTACATTAACTTCTTTGTTTCCCCTCCCTCTCTCTGTCTCAGGTGATGGGCCTCTTACCCAGCTTGCTGGATGGTGACTGTTTTGTCAGGTCCAACTCTCTGTCATCAGACATTGGGATATTGTTTGAGCTTGGCATCACTTACACGTGCAACGTGAGTGTGTGAAGGTGCAGCATAAATCCCTCCAAGTGCAGGTTTATGGAGGGATCCTATGGGCAGACAATGCCCCTAACTAGAGAATAAAAGCTTTCTGACTAATGGCCATGAGCAGACCTGTGGTTACACTGAAAAAACTTGTTCCAAACACCTTCTGTCATGGCATCACGAAGGACCAGTTCTCTCTTCACTCCTCCAGGTTTTCTCTCCCTGTGATTTGTTTCAGACTGATGTGCTGTACAGTTTGGAAACTAAAATTTTAACTGTTCCAACAGCATGAATGAACAGTGGTTTCTAACTCCAGTTTGCCCAGATGCAGCCTGTCCATCTGGGACGGATGTGCTGCTGAGAAGTACGACAGGTTCTAGCACAAGAGATGGCAAAGGCCAGAAAAAACACCCTAAGGGAAGGCAGGTTGTGATTTTCAACACACAGGGGTGAAAGAGGAAAAGGGGGGGGTGTCACCACAACGATTTTGATGGGGTGATTATAATTAATTGTGCTTTGCTCAGCTGCTCAAAGCATTTATGCTTCTCTTTTTTTCCTAGTCAACAGGTGTAAGGGGAGAGCTGAGCTGTGGCTGGGCATTCCTGAAGCTTTTCACTTCTAATGGGATTCCCGTCCCTTCCAAGTGAGTTTGACACGTTTTCGTGCTCTCTCTGTCCTCACATCCCCATGTACATACACCTGTTTTACACTGTGAGTAAAGCTCACCTCCCATACTCACACACTGCTCATCCAGACCAGTCCTCTGGGATTCTGCCTCTTCTTTGTGTGTGCACTTTGCTGCTTATCCCTTTCCCAGGTAAAAATTTGGAGACTGGTTTCCAAGACCTGGAATCAGATGAGAGTTGTTGTGAGTGAATCTCTCTTGGAGAGTGTGAACAAACTTGTATTTTGCAGCTGAGTTATGATTAGTTTCTGGGCCCACTGATCTAAAAGAATAATAAAGTGTATAACTTTCTATTTTGTTAAGTGTAGAAAAGCTTTCTGTCTATTTACAGAAATGATTCATCATAGCTTAGACTTGCAAGACTTGTTTTTTTAGCAAATATTGGTAGATATATATGTATATATATTCTGAATTTATCTAAATTACAGGGCAAAAAAAAATACCCACTGTTCTCTAAGTCTCTAAATCTCTTCTAAATCCCATTTCTAATTTTGTTTTACTATTTCATTAAGTTAAACGTGGTATCTACACATTAAACTTCACGCTTGCTTCGAGAGAACTGAGATTACATTATTCTTTAAGGAATTTTACATGTGGAAGATCTAAAACATTGCAGTGATGACTCCTCAAAAACATTTCAGTGAAACAGCTGCTGAATTTCATACAAGAAAAATATTGGAGCTGTGGAAAAGAATCAGTGCTGCTGGTTGCTTTTAAAATAATTAACTTCCCAATACAAGAAATTCCCCAAATAATTAACTTCCCAATATAATTAACTTCCCAATACAAGAAATTCCCCAAATAATTCACTTCCCAGTATAATGCAGGTTTCAAATTTATCACCTGGGGTTTGGCTGCTTAGTTGGGTGCAGTCACTGCATCCAAAACACTGCTTATAACATGGAGGGGTGTGTCAGGTTTTGAGAGAGCGGGTTTTCCTTTCTCAGAAAGTGGTTGTGCTGTTCTCTCATGTCCTTAAATATTTTCTTTTAACTGTGCTGCTCTTTTCTGACAGGATGTACGAGCTGCTGCTGAGTGGTGGGACTCCCTACGAGAGAGGTGTCGAGGTGGACCCCTCAATATCAAGAAGAGGTGTGTGGTTTCTCCTAAGTGTGATTTAAATAAAACGCCGTGGCAAATGCTGTGCCTCTTTTACAACAGCCTGGTTTGGGTCGCTGTGTTCTCATTTTGCATTGATTTCATGATTCCTTTACCTGCACTTCCCTTGGCTGTGGAGTGCTGGGTGGCAAAGAGTTCCCCATGAGGCTTTTGGGATGTAATTCTGGCCGTTCTTTCCACCTGGCTGATTCCATTCCCGCGGGTTTGTTCCTGCAGCAGCTGGTGGGGTTTTCCATCAGTTCCTGGCACTCAGGAAACAGCCTGTGCTGCTGGTGAAGCTGAGGTCACCGAGTGTGCAGTCCAGAGATGTCCTGAAGTAAGTACAAGAGACATCCTGAAGTAAGTACAAAGCGAGAAAGAATTCCAGACAGCCCGGGATGGTCCCAGAGATCAGTGTTCCCCTCCCATGGAACACTGGCTGTGGAAAAACCCGAGGCTCGTGTCACCTGCATGTTGTACTCCATGTCTGTTTGATGCTTGGGCTTATTTTGTTGGAAATAAAGTCTTAATTTAAGTTTAGATAAGATGGAAAACTGCAACAGCAGGAGTTGGGCCCTTGGAGCTGGGGATCAGTGTCCGGAAGCGGTGATGGATTCATGGAGATGCCATGAATAAACAACCTCCATGGAGCTGTCCTTTCCCTCAGGTTTTGGTGGATGATGCTCTGTAGGAGCAGTTCTCAATAAAGCCTCAACTGCTGTTCTTTGTTTGCCCAACAGTTTTCTGCCAGAAACATTAATTGGGAGCACGAGCTCCGTCCATCTCTTGGCATTTTATCGGCAAATCCTCGGAGACGCCCTCCTGAGGGACAGGACGAGCATGCAGAGCACAGGTGAGAGCCAAAGAAAGCTCAGGTTCTTCCAGAGAATCACCCTCTCTGCTCATCTCTCTGAGGTGTTTCTGTCACTGAGGTAAATCATCCTCTTTATTTTTATTTTTTAATTACTATTTACTCACTGACTAACGCAGGGAGAGACAGAAGTGGAAGAGTTCTGGTTTTAGAACTCAGGGGCTTGCCCTGATTTTGCAACTCTGTACCTTATTCAACAAAACTAATAACAGTTTATAGCCTTCCCCATTTTAAAATCCATTTGAAATATGGAAAATTTACATTTCTTAACTGTACTACAGGTGAATCTATATTGGTACCAAAAGTGATTTTCTTGTGTTTTCTCCCATCTCGTCTCCAGACTGAATTATGAATCTTCTGTTCCTATGCAAATAAATTCCCTTGTGCAGTTGCTGACATTTTTAACTTAGAATCTTTATCATACTTAAGCACCTGAATCACAGTTTCGTCTGTCAGAGGTGCTTAACTCCCTTCCTGATTTTCTTCAGCTTTAACATACATCCTGCCCGTACTGATTTCAGTAGGTGAAAATAAATTAATGCTTTAATTAATAAACTCACAGAGAGAAACTGAAGTGCTTAGTTTTAAAGACGAGGTGAGAACTGCCACACTTACCTGATTTGATCTTCATAACTTGGCACAGCAGATCAGGCTCTCCTGGGATTAAAATTGCACCCCTTTGGATCCAGACCTCATTTGAAATGATTGAAAGGTGTTTCAGAAGTTCTTCTGGCTGTGTGTCACTAAGGAAGATTTCTGTTATTACAAAATCACCCATCACTTCAGAAACAGGCAGTTTAAAATGCCTGCTCTGTCTCACAGGAGGCATCAGTTCTGGCCTGCAGCCTTTAAATGTTTTGGTTTAGTAAAACCTTCGTGTTTACTAAACCATCAGCTTCAAGAGGAAGAAAGGACAGTGTATATTAAATATTTGAACTCACGAGAGAAAGGAAAGACTTCCACCAAAATTCTGCCCTCTGTCACTTGTAATCTTATCCACAATCTCATCAATGAAAATAAGGACAGGAGCAGAGCACTTTCTCGTGGGAGGCAGCCCAAAAAGCACCAGGATCCCTGTGCAGTGGGATTTACCCCACTTGGTAAATTCTCTGTGCCACTTGGTACCTGCTTCTCTTAAAATGCCACACAAGACATGCCAGGTCGAGGTAGAACCCAAGTGTGTTTATCCATAACATCCCAACCAAGCAGCACAGTTGCAGCTGTGTGTAAAAAAAAAGGCAGGTGCAGGAATGAGGGAAAACCCCTCAGGCAGGTAAATGAGGAATATTTAAAAGGAATATATGCTTGCTGGTGCTCCCAGTAAACCAGGAGCTGGTTTTTGTGTGTCTGCTCTCCTGGTGTGTCTCCCAGCCACTGAGAGCTGGCTACAGTCAGAGAACTCAGTTGTTAGGGAGCTCTCCTGCCTTCCCTGCCCTCAGGAGAACTGTTACAGCTCATTTTCCCTTTGGAAAAATCCGAGGGGAGGGGATGTACTGAGTACCTGGATGTGCTCTGTACTTAGCCTTGTGATTGTGTTTGTTTTCTGTTTCAGATTTAATCTGTAATCCTATTTTAGCAACTTTCCCTCAGCTCCTGGATCAGCCAGACCTGATGGATGCGCTTCGGGTACGTTACCTTGTCAGGATTTCCAGACAAAATTTGAGGGTGTTTTTGTCCTGTGAAAAGATAAAGTTCTCCACAGCCTTGGTCTGATTTTACATTTCATTTTTAGAGTGCTTGGGCAGACAGAGAAAGAACGCTGAAGAGAACTGAGAAGGTAACAAACCATGGGGTTTTCTTTCCATGTGTTCAGTGGAGTCTGAACTAGCTGCTCCCTGTCAGTGTTATTGCTGCTCAGCTTTTCCTCTCACTTACTTAAAAAACAGAGACATGTTAAATAGAGTTCTCAACACTTCTTACTCTGATTTATAACAGTAAACCAGGAGGAGGAGGATAATTAAATTGACTTGTAACTGTTTGTCTCAGCATTGGTGGCGGGGAACGTGTTATTTCCATGGATACAAAAGAGGCTGTGCATGCCCACAAAATCATCTGCCCTCCTCCAACCTCTAAGCTCAGGTCTGCCTGGGAAAAGGCCCCCAGATTCCTCCCATCTCCCCACCCCAGACAGTTTTAATCCCATGTTTTGGTGTGGAGGCAGCTGGAGAACTGACCCAGCTGTCACCAGGCTCGCCCTCACCCTGCCCCACCTCCTGTCTGCCCACAGAGCAGCTGCAGGGAGCTCCATGGGGAAACCACTGGCTCTCCATCCAGGACTTCCTGGGAGCAGCAGTGGGATGTTTCCTTCCCCGTGCACAAGGATTGCTCCCTGTTTACACAAACCCTTGAGTCAGAATGGCTTTTTCAGGGCCATTCATCCAAAAGGAAAGGGGAGCTGCTCACGGAATCGGTGACTCCCCGGGATCCCAGAACCATCCAGTTTTACCTGACTGGCATGTGCCCCTCCCAGGGCAGGACTGCTGCCTGCAGGGTGCTCACCCCTCATGGCTCTGTGACTCTGAGCTGCCACATCTCCCGCTGAGCCGTGAAGTGCTCGATGCTGGGCACGGCCCTCGCGGCTCTGGAACGCTCCATGCTCCAGGAGTTTTCCTGCTGGCAGCAGTCAGGATCCTTCCTGTGTGTTTGATAATTGACCAGGCTGATCCTTAAGCTTCTGGGTTTTCCAGACTGGCCTCTGCAGGGGAACACATAATTCTCACCTTGGAGCACCCAGGGGCAGCCTCACCTCCTGCTCTGAGGAGCGCGGGATCAGAGCTCCTGGTTCTCCTTCTCTCCACCTCAGGAAAATGAGCAGAGTTTCATCCTCCCAGGGCAGGGAGGATGTGGCACTAGTTTTAGGAAGGAATATAAATACCCCACAAGCAAATCTCAGTGCCCATGGTTTGTGGGAGCACTGGCAGGGCTTTAGAGAGCAGATTTGTTGATCTATGGTTTGTATTCTTTAGGCTTATCCAAGACAATGGATATTTGTTTAGGAAGGTCAAATCTCTTCCCGTTGTTATCCTGGTACTGGGGGTTACTTGTTTGGTTTGATCTTCTCCCTGTGCACAATCCTTTGGAGAAGTGCTTGGAAGCACCACAAGTTTGCACTCAAGTATTTTCTTCCCTGCAGAGAGATCAAGAATTCCTGAAGTCTGTGTTTGTCCTGGTGTACCACGACTCTGTCTTCCCTCTCCTCCAGTCCACGTTCCTCCCCAGCTACAAGTGGGCTGAGGAAGAGGCAGAAATGTCCCGCTGGAAGGCGATCCATGACTTCTTGAAGAAGAGCCGGGAGAACGACGGCGCTCTGCACTACCTGCTGTCCTCAGAAACCACCCACAAAGCCTTTGACATCTCAGAGCTGGCTTATGATTTCTTAGGAGAAGTGAGGAAAAATCCTGGAGAATTAATGGATTAAAGAACAATTCAGGCTCTCTAAGGACGGGGTAACACCACAAATAAATTCTTACCAAAGGGACCGTACTATTGAATTGTAATGAGTATTTTAACAAATTTACATTTTGGGAGAGACTGGAATTATTTTATCAGTGTAACTTCAATTTTTGACAAACGTTGGACAAGGCTCTGCTTGTCTGTCACTACCTGTTGTAGCCACTTCAAGTGCCGTATTTTGCCGAAGCTGAGGCTCCACTTCTCAGCACTTTCCTCCTCTCGTGCAGCTTCTTCCAGTTAATTCCCAGTGTTGTTTTAATCAGGGTGAACAAAAGGCCCTTTGTCCCTGTCCCCCAGCAGGCTGGGAGCAGGGAAGGGAACAGCAGAGATCCTTAAGAATGCTGCTGAGCAAGGGCAGCCAGGTGAGGGGAAAAAATCCTCTCTTGCCCAACCCGTGGACGGCACGTTCCTCCATTTTTAAACTGTTTGTCTGCTTTTCTCCCCCTCTCAGGAGAAGGCTGGGCCATTCACAGGAATGTGCCTGACCTAACACACCTAACAGCTGGTGGGAATTCAGGGCACTGGCTCCCCTGGGATGGCTCCCTCCGTGCTGACCCCTGTGCCAGCTGCTTTTCCCCGAGCGCCTTGTGACCGCAGTCTGGTTGTGCTGCCGCTTCCCAGGGGGAAGTTACTAATCCGGTTTCCCTTTAGTGCTGGAGCATCTGGATGCTTCCTACAGTGTGATGGGGACATTGCCACTGTGTCTGATGGACTTAAGCCCAGGCCAGGCAGTTTTGCCAGGTGGGAAATGATTTAAAACAAGATCTTCCAAGCACAAGCGCATGGAGCCCCAGAGCAGCTCCCACGGGAGCACCTGTGCCCTGGAGCCTCCAGAAATGCCACAGAGCGCTTCCCCCGGCCTAGGAAGGGCTCAGACAGGAAATATGGATTTGATCTTTGGTCTGTGTCACACAAGGCTTGGCAGTTCCTGGGGCATCACCTGACTCTCCTAACACAGATGGGATACCTTACTGGGACAGTGTCCTCCTGCTGGAGCACATTGCCCCAGTTAGTGAGGTGATTCTGTCCCCTCTGGGTCACCTTCAGCCTTTCATCCCATCAGCTATCTGGGAATTCTGGGGCGAGGCAGAGTCTGCTGGATGAAGCAGCGAGTGCCTCCCGAATCCAAAGTGCATCCGTCAGGACGCAGAAATCCCAGCAACTCTCTCTCAAACCTTTCAGGGCACTTGGGAGCACAGGGGCAAACCCTCCCGGCTTGTTCCAGAGTGTTGCCTGTCAAAATCGTTTGCCAGCCACTTCTGGAAGGCTGGATGTGCCTGCAGGGCGTGGAGGGGTCTGATGTGAACACGGAGCAGAAACCTGAACAGAAAGGGGAGGAGGCAACAACAGTGGAAGGGAAAATATTTCAGGCTTGGAAGCGTGCCAAGGACGGCAACTGTTTGCAGGAAACATTTCTGCCCCGGTGTGTAGGAAGTTTTCTCCTCTCCCCTCTGGGTAATGACCTTGAACTGACGGTGTGGCAGGGCCGGGGTCCCGCTGCCCTCCCAGCCCTGGCAGAGGGGCGTGTGGAGCCACAGTGCCGGGCGGGTGCCGAGGGCTCCCGGGCCGGCGCAGTGCCAGCCTGGGCTGGTTCCTGTGATTACGTCCCGCGGGTGTGTCCCTTAAAACCCGGTGCAGGCGAGGGTGAGCCGAGTGATCCTGGTGTCAGCTGAGGAGACATGGCCTCGGTGGGTCCCTCCACGACCTCCACACAGACCGCCCTGCCCTCCGGACCCGCCGTCTTCAAAACCATCCCCTACGCCTTCATCCTGCCCGAGATCGTGAGTATCCCGAGCTCCGCTGCGTTACGGCACCTGGCTCATGGCTAAATTCCTGGGAGCAGCCCCCAAATGATCCCGGAGACAGTGGTCGTGGGAAGTAACATCTTGGCTTTGAGCCTGGGCTGGATGCACAAAGGTGGTCTTCGTGATAGGGTTTTTTGGAAGAGCTTGAGGACAAGGTACACTCCAGCTCCATCCCAGGGTCACTGGCTGCCGTAGGGCTGGGAGAGGCTGAAGAGCTGCTGGCTCCTCAGGGCACAAGCAGCTCTTGTTAGCACCTAGAAACTGCTTGAAAATCAAGGGAATTTCGCTCTCTGTATCAAGCCTGTCTCTGTCTATCCTGTATCGAGTCTTCCCAGGGGTTGAAGGCAATTGGGCGTCTTCTGATGTGTGACATTCCACGATTCTTTCAAGTGCTCGTGGGTCCAGAGGGCACCCAGTGTGACTGGCTGCAATAATAGCTGGTGTACTTTGACACTGGGCTGGAGACCCACACCCCGCTGCTCCACAGGCACAATCCCTGCTGTGCCAGTGGGCTCAGCTCCCCGCAGCAATTCCGGGCTTCACCCACCGGAGCTGGGATGGCACAGGATGGCACGGGCTCATCCTGACAAACCCCTGGTGCTGTTTGTGCACAGTAAACCTGTTGGGTGGATCCAGAGCGAGCTACTGGCTCGGGGCTGGTGCGGGGAGCTGTGAGGAGGCCTCCTCGTGCTGGATTTCAAGCCCTGGGAATTAACGAGCGGGGCAGGGCTGGGGCGACGCTGTGGCCATTCACCTTTCCCAGATAAAAGCCCAATTTTCTGCTCAAGCACCAAACGCCTCAGGGTGAGACATTTCCTTGTGTGGAAGGCGGCAGCAAACCTCTCCCTTTCGTAGGAACACTCACTTCCCATGAGTGTTCAAGGAAACTGGTGCCACTGTCGTGCCGGGATGCTCCGGGAAGGATGCAGGGCTTCCGCTGGCTGCTGGGGCCAGCCCAGGAGGGACTTGGAGGGAAGGAGTTTTCCTCATCCCGTGCTCACCCGAGGCGCCTGTTTGTCCCCGGCAGCTCTGTGGGACCTGGGTGTGGATCCTCGTCGCCGCTACCTCCGTGTCCCTCCCGTTGCTGCAGGGATGGGTGATGTACGTGTCCCTCACCTCCTGCCTCATCTCCCTGCTGCTCCTCCTCAGCTACCTCCTGGGCTTCCACAGGAACAGCGAGAACTGGAAAGTGCTGGTAAGGAGGGGCCAGGACGCCGGCAGCTGTCGGCAGGGAGGGTCCATCCCAGCCCTGTCTGGCTGTGTGTCCCTCTGGAGCACTCACCCGAGCCTTGCTTTGCAGGACAGTTTGTACCACGGTGCCACGGCCATCCTGTACATGAGCGCCGCTGTCCTGCAGGCCAACGCCACCATCAACTCTGAGTTCAGCCCCAACTCACCTCTCTACTACCAACTCAACAGTGCCGCCTCGGTGAGCGGGCCCGGAGCACCCTGGGCAGGCTGGAGAACCACAATTCCCCCTGGGAGAGGCAGCAGCAAACATTAAAGCCATGGTAGAGCCACTCCGAGCCCGGCAGCGTCTCACCGGGCAGAGCTTCAGCTCCTCACCTTGGCTGTGCTGTGCAGCCACCATGGGCTTCCAGGGTCCACCTTGCAGGGCTGGCTCCTGGGAAAAGTTGGGAACTTTGCCTCTTCTTTGAGGCTTGGGGAGAGCTCTAGGTTGGGAGGCTTCACTGGGAGGAGGTGGGGTTGGACTCTCCCGGCTCACCCCAGCTTGTGCTCTTCTTCCTCCTGTGCAGTTCTTCGCCTTCCTCACAGCCTTCCTGTACATCCTCCACGCCTTCAGCATCTACTACCAGTGATCCCAGTGCTCCCAGCAGCTTCTCCTCTGCAGGACGAGGGCTTTCCCAGCGAGGGACCCCGCTGTGCTCCCCAAGATGTCCCTGCCCGGCCATGAGGACGGAGGGTCCTTTTTCACTTCACCAGAGGAGGGATTTTTTTTGGCACACGGTGGTGCCCGTGGGGACATTCCCTGCCTTGCCCCGGGCTGAGCAAGGGGAGGGACTGGGCGCAGGCTCCAAGCCTCCAGCTCCGACATTCCGCCAAATAGTGATGACCAAGGGAAGGGGAAAAAAAAAGAGAACCACTGTTCCTTCAGCAAACAATTTCCTTTCTTATGTTATTTGCCTTTGTCTGGTTCAGCTACATTCCTCCCCAACACATAAACTGGCAATAATGATGCAATACTGTGTTCCCTGACTGTCAGGTTGTGCCATTTGGTAAACGCTGTACTTGGAATAAAGCGTCGACTGACAGATTTTGACCACTCTGTAAGCTGTGTTCATTGAACAAGCTCAATTTATCCCCTAAGAGTTAGAAAAAAAAAAAAAAAACAAAGCCAGAAAATGTTCACTTCGAAAGCTACAACGGGCTTTTTAAACAATAAATCAGAGAAGTCGTAGCAAAGTTATAGACGTAGTATAAAACTACAGCTTGAAAAGAATTCTTACAGCGGGTATTTACAGTCGTGTCTCCCAATTCCCGTTACAAAACCTGCAGAGTTCAGGCACTGGTGTTGCTGGTGTCACTCCTCCCTGCATCCTCAGCCGCGGAGGGAGCGGTGGGAGAAGCTGCCTGCTCTCCCTGCCCCGGGGAATCCTCCAGGTCTGGGATAGCGTTGACCCGCAGCACGTCCAGGTAGAGCAGGTATTCCTGGAGGCAAACCGGCAGCGGCAATTCCCGGATGGCGCGCTCCGAGCGCAGCCGGTCGCTCCTCAGCAGGGACCGGATCTCCAGCCGGCACAGGTGAGACAGGGGCGGAATGAAGGCTGGAAAATTGAACCCCGAGTCAATCAGGGACACCGTGGGACCGCCTGCAGTTCCCTGGATCCCACCCCGGGCTCTGGAAGGTAACGAGCGGAGCTCTCCGCAGCGAAGGGATTTGCCAGTCCTTGAATTCTTCTGTTCCCTTTCCTTTGCCCCCCCAGCTCCCTTTCCCTCTTCAGCTGTGGTTACTGGATGCTCTTACAACACAAATATATTTACTAATAGCAAAGGAAACAAAGAGGGAACCTCACCTCAATTTCCCCCAATTAAACCGGTTTTTTTTAGCTCCAAAAACATCCTTCTGGCCTCAAACATTCCAAAGGAAGCATTATTACATAACATTATCACCTGCACATTTCAGAAATCATTACAGATCTTTTAAAGAAGAATTGGCTTTGAAAGGAGTCACTAACAGACACCTGAGCACAATTTTTCGGTCACACCTGTGTGTTAAAGCCGCTTTTCTGAAGGGAGAACTGCCAAAAGTTCCTGGGCAACCAATTGAATATTTTGGCTGACCACATTTTTGAGCAGATTTGATTTTTTTACGGTTTGTATTTTAATTACCGCCCAAAGCTTTGGACAGAACAGGACAGACACTCCACTGGAAATACTAATCAAATTAAAAAAATAATTTGGAATATCAAATAAAAAAATAACTTGGAAGCTGGCACACACACAGACTTTTTTTTCTCCTGCCTCTTCTGCTTACCAAAGTGGCTCTTGGGAGTCCAGGTGAACTTCTCCTTGTATTGGGAAAGGTGTTCCTCCACACCTCGAGGAAGTCTGCTCCAGTTCATGAACTCCAGGACAAAGTTAAGGACGTTCTCACTCGCGGAGAAAATCCTGCGTGACAAAAACTCCCCTGAAATACCATTTTACACAACAGCATAAATAGAATAATGAGAACAACACAGCTTTTCTGACAAATCCTTAACAACCTTCATCCCAAGCCTAGAAACAGGAAGCCACTACAGAGAAATCCCAAGTAATTCCATAGCACAAGTCTTTACTGATGTAATTTCACTTCCCTCCGTTTCTTTCCAAAACTAAGTTATTTTTCTAGATGACGGTGTGATGGGTGTTATATTAAAAAGTGGGTGTTTAAACAGAGGAAGTAATTGCTATAAAAAGTATTTGTGGGTTAGGGAATAAAATATCAAAAAGCACCATGTGTGATATGCAAGGACAGTGAGATTTGTTCAGTCACTGAGTTGCAACCCTGTAGGGTGTTTACTACAGCCAGCAGAAAATACAAATATTTCAGAACTTTAAACAGGAGTTGAATTCTGTAGTGCCCAACTAAATATAAAACATCACCAAGCCGTTATTTCTGTGTGGAAAAACTTAAATTAAAAAAAAAAAAAAGCAAACAAACAAAAAAATAAAGCCCAGACTGGAACATTTGCCACATTGTTTTGTTTAACAATCTTGAACCGCATCCGTTTCCTCTCCTCCCAGCCCTGGCCCAGCTTCACTTCCCATTTGCTTCCCATCCCATCCCTCCTGACCTATTTCTCCCATTTGAAATTCTTCTTACCATTGCTGTATTACAGTATTTACACACACCCCTACAAAATCTGAGGTGAATTTGGGGGCTATTAAGGGATGTTCTATATAAAAGTCGGGCAGTGATGCCTTTCTCCGGGGGAGTGATATAAAGCAACCTCCCTCCAGTCTGGCTTTCTTCCTACACCGAATTTTTTTCCTGGCTCCAGACGTGGTGGCGTGCGAATGATTTATCTCAGACTTTCCACAGCCCCTCCCATTCCTGATCGTGGCAACTGATTATCAAAGCCCATCCTGGGAAAGCCCAGGTTATAAACCAAGCTTTGCCCATGGTATTTAGTAAGTAGGGGGGCGAGGGGCTCTGCTCACCAGAGGGCACACATGAAATTCAGGGGGTCAAAGCCAGCCAGGAGCAGGGAGGGCAGCCACTGCTTGTATTCCTTGTGCGCCGTGTTGCTGTAGTGGATAAAATCCGTTAATTCCTCCCCGGAGGGCAGGGAACAGCCCAGCCTCAGGAAGCGCCGAAACAAAGCGAACTTCTTATGGCACAGGCAGTGTCCCAAGTTAACGGCCCGGAGGGTGATCCCGTACTTCAGGAGAACGTCGATGAAGTGAAAATACCTGGGAATAGGGAGGAGGAACAGGGGCGTCCCGTTAAGTTTTCCCCTCAGAAAGCATCTCCCACTTTCAGCATCCAGCCGTATATGCAGGGAGCTCCTTGCAGGGAGCTCCGGTTTTAAAAACAGAACCATTTCACTACAATCCTTTTGTGGTTATCCATCACAGCAAGGTGATGACCTGATAATGGTGTTGTGATAACGACTGAGATTATGACCGATAATTAGTGCGCTGCTTTTTAGCTTAGTTAATGATTAGAGGGCACATCTCTTCGGGAAAGTGGTGATATATGTTACCTGCCTCATTCACAGGACATTAAAGTAATTACCTGCTCTGCATCCCTTCCTAAATTATTTATTATTAAGCAACACCAGGACAGAAGGGGGAAAAAACCAACATCCAAGGATTTTTAAAGACAACTTCCTAGGACTAAATTCCATGGACTAAATTCCCCACTAATGAACCTCTAATGAATTTAAAGGCAGCACCTAAGCCATCAATTTTGATCCACATAAGTGAAAGGCTCTGTTAGAATCTGGGTTTAAAGAAGATTTAAAAGCCTTTATTGAAGATGTTTTCCCTAATGCAGCACACGAGTCACACAGCAGGACTTGGCATTAATATTCCCAAGGAGGAGTGTCTGCAAAGGGGGAACTAAACAGCATTCTGGAAAAAATGCTGAATGACAGGCAACAACTGAGGGAGGAAGGCGGGAAAGTGCACGTTTGAAGTTAAATAAAAGGTGGTATAAGCACGAATAGTTTCTAAACAGAAGAGGTTTCCTTACTCTTTTTGGAAGATCATGCACATGGGGGATCTGCAGTCGAAGTCAAGGCACTCCTGAGCATCTGGGCTGAAGCCCTGTTTGAGCAGCATCTCCAGACACGCCCCGTCCCCTCCGTATATGGCGGAATACACAGGGCTCAGTTTGCCCTTCCCCTTGTCACAGATCCGGTCAGTCACTGGGATCAGCAGCTCCAGGATCCTGCAGATATTTCAAACCACTGGTTTCTGATCTCATGCCACGATTCATTTTACATACACAGTCAATTTTCACACGGTTTGGAAGAAAATCCTGACTTTTCACTCCCCAGCTTGCATAGAACAACCTTGATAACTCCATACACAGGTCCCGGGCAAACACTGTGCTTTGGCACGGATTTAGGCTGGAAATAAATATTTTAATCCAAACCAGGGACAGCTCAGCTCTTTCCTATTATCCCCCACTCCTTTTTAGAGCTGCACATTAAATCCAGACTTTTCTGAAGTCTGGAATCAAACTGGAAATGTGAGTTGCAAATAAAAATTAATTCTTAGTGGAACAGAAAAATCCTTCTGTTCATAGCTCACAGCTCCAGGCTACATCACATTAGTGACAAACACCAGTTCCTTTGCTACTGGAACTTACTGGTCCTGCTTAGGGGTCACCAGTTACGTGCAAATATATGTGCAAATCATGGAGTTCCTGAGAGCTCCTTCTCCCCAGTGTCCTGCTGCTCCAGAAACTTCCTTGCACTCTTGGCTTTCTGCAGTGGAACTGACTTGTATCACTCAAACTGGCCAAAGCTACAAATGCATTTCTGAAAGGGTTAAAGGGACTCTTTTGTGGCTTTGATTTTTCTGCCTGGTTCAGCTAACTCAATATTTGCACATAATTACTTCTGCTACTTACTGGTTAGGAATATAATTCTAATTAGCAACTGTTCAAGCCATGTATAAAGCCATGTCATTTATGTTTTATAATGGAGAGCAAAATGGCCAGGAAGTGAATTGGTATCTGGTTCAGCACTGTGGAAAACCCTCTAAACTCATTAGAACGTGGATCAAATCCAGGTTAGATGCTGAATTAAAAATTATACAACCAAAGAATGGTTGAGGTTGGAAGGGACCTTAAAGATGATCCAGTGCCACCCCCTGCCATGGGCAGGGACACCTCCCACTAGCCCAGGTTGCTCCAAGCCCTCTCCAACCTGCCCTTGGACACTCCCAGGGCTGGGGCAGCCACAGCTTCTCTGGACAACCTGTGCCAGGGCCTCTCCACCCTCGCAGGGAAGGATTTCTTCCCAATATCCCATCTAAACCTACTCTCTGTCAGTTTGAAAGAGACTACTAACAGACATTTAAAACATGAAAAGAATCAGGACTTCTAAACTACAAATCAGTTTGAACGCTCATTTTTCTTCCTTTTAGGCCCGAACTTCCTCCCTGGGGATTATATTTGTGTCACCAGAATCTTCTGGGCGCCTTTTCCACCACCTACTTTGCATGGCCCATTTCGGCCGCGGCGTGAATCGGTAACTGCCACTGGTCCTCGTTGCAGTAGAGGTTTGGGTCTGCCCCTGCTGCCAAGAGCAGCTCCACACATTCCAAGTGTCCCTCCTGTGCAGCAATCAGCAGGGGGGTGGCTCTGTCCTTGGCCTGGCAGTTGAGGTCTGCACCTGACACAAAACAAAACCGAAGTCACGTTCGCCGGTGATTATTTTTCCCCGGCGCGACTCCAAACTCAACGAGTTTTCCACAGGAATAAGGAAAGAAAAAAAAAAACCACCTCAACCTAAAATTTCAGATTACGTGCAAGAGCAGAACTAAAACTGTGTTTAGTGACAGCTGATGAAGGTTCAGAAAGGGAAATGAAGGCTCGTTATTACCGTGGGACACCAGCAGCCGCAAGCTCTCCAGCTTGCCATACTGAGCAGCAACAAACAGGGGGGTAATTCCAAAGTCATCCCTACAGTTCTTGCTTGCCCCTTTCTCCAGGAGGATTTCCATTATCCCAGTGGAACCCTGAAACAAGTATTTTTACTCTCAACCAACGGAAAAGCAAGGAAATTACATAACCTGTTTTCCCCCCACACACGCTCCAAACTGAAATAAGACACAATATATCAATATTCTAAAGATGCATTGAATAATTAATGGTCAAATAAATCAGACAAGTTTCAATTAATTTATCACATTTGCTCATTTATGTGATAAGTACAAATGGTAATTAAATGAGTTTATTAGCACCATTAAGCCAACATGTTTGTAAGTACAACCTTATGACTGCTTAGGTTGGTTAGGAAAATGTATCCAATAAAAATGCAATAAAAGAAATAAATTATCATTCAGAATACACCAGTGACATGGAAATTACAGGATGTGCTTAAAGGTTACCTGAAAAGAAGCTTGGTGCAAAGAATTCCATCCAGACCAACAATGAGGACCTTCAATATTTGCTCCGTGTTGGAGCAGAAATTTTATGACCTCTGTATGTTTATTTTCAACAGCTTCAATAGAACAGTAATAAAAAAAAAAAAGGAAAAATAATTATTATTAAAGAACTTTCAAAAGAAAGAATTTAAATATTTGGATTTACGAACTCGCTGAAAAACTCAAAAGGTCTCACTGACAACTTCCTGACACAATAATCAAAATTCTTTTAAATTTGTCTTATTTCTTCTTACTGTCTTATGTGTTTACACCCCAAAACCGTGTTGGAGAATGGAAACTATCCACGAAGTTTTCAGTTAAACTTGTTAAAATTCCACCTCCACTGTGTTAAGACAGATAACAAAAGCAAGTTTCTCTTGTCCCTTTTTCCCATGGAACATGGAGACAGTATAAAAGGGGGATTTCCAGAGCCACTCCACATCTGAGCCTTAAGCCTGGTATTCAGGCTACAAATCTATGGGACACGGAACAGGAACTTGATTTAAATTCGGTTGTTCTGGGATTTCAGGAAAGCTGACCTAGGAAGAGCGGGGTGGTGGCATCGGTGGTGACATCGTTGAGGTCAGCCCCGGCTTCCAGGAGGACACGGAGACATTCCAAGGCCCCGTGACGTGCCGAGAGGTGCAGAGCACACAGCCCTTCGAACGTCCTCGAGTGGATGTAGTCATCAGATGGGGCTACAGGGAGGGATGAGGAGGGGGAAAGTGGGATATTCAGCAGCGAAGTACCAAAATACAGTTATTTCGAGAAAACAAGGGAGTTATTTGAGATGTGTGGCCTACAAATGTGCCTCTTCCAAATGTCACTGGTGAGCCACAACCTGCCAATTTCTCTTTACCACAGCTGCGAAACCACGCAGAAACTCCCAAAACAAGTTAAGAACACGATAAATCTACATCGTTTCTATTTTCTACGACAGGGTAATCGAGCAGAAAACCACACTATTTACTAAGTTCTCTTTACCTGCACGAATGAGCAGCCTCAGGCACTCACTGGAATTGTGTGCTGCCGCTTCGTGGATGGGCACCCACCTCCTGTTATCCGGGACATCGATGCTGTATCCCTGAGCAATTAACTTCCTCAGGATTTCAACGTTCCCTTCCCTGGCTGCCAGGCCCACGGCCGAGCACCGGTCGGAATAGGCCTCCGTGAAATCCATCCTTGGGATCGAACTCTGCAGGAGGAAGAGAGGAGGGGAAAAAAAAAGAGATGCGTGTTGGTACAACCTATGTAAGAGAGAGGTTTTTGTTTGTTTTGCAGAGGATTCGGTTTGGTTTGTGGGGTTTGGAGGAGGGTGGTTGGTTGTGGGGTTGGGAGGAGGTGGTTGTTTGGGGGGCTGGGGGAGATGGTTGAGGGGCTTGGGGTTAGAGGTTGTTTGTGGGGTTAGGAGGTGGTTGTTTGTGGGAAGATTGTAGGGTTGGGGGAGATGGTTGTTTAGAAGGTGGTTGATTGTGGGGATTGGCAGAAGGTTGTTAGCAAGGTTTGGGGGGGAGGTTGTTTGTGGGGTTGGGGGGGCAGAGATGGTTGGTTGGGAGATGGTTGGTTGGTGGGTTTGAGGGGGATTGTCAGTGGGGTTGTGGGGAGGTAGTTTGGTGGGTTTGAGGGGGACTGTCAGTGGGGTTGTGGGGAGGTAGTTTGGTGGGTTTGAGGGGGACTGTCAGTGGGGTTGTGGGGAGGTAGTTTGGTGGGTTTGAGGGGGACTGTCA